GGGCTCTCAACAAAAGAAAAAACACGAATCATCCCTATTTTTGAAAATGCAGCACACCACAACATACAGAACATTCACATCTATGTGTTGTGGTGCACTATAAACACACAGTTTTTCCTACTGTATTAGTGTCAATGAGAATAGTAATGTACCAAACCACACACATTAAATCACAAAGGTGTCCAATCAGATGCAGGCACTGTTCAGATATTTGAACACTTGGCTCCATCTGCACGGTTTAGCATGGATGGGGGAAATCAGTTCAATTTTTTTCTGTTCAGCTCTTGGTGTTACAAGTGTAAACCAATCTTAAACAGAGATGGTTTGATTGCTCTAGGTTACTGCATACCAAGGTCGGCACCATTAATAAGACTATAGGTGTGAACAGCTGGCAACCCTGAACAGCCAAACAGTAAACAGTAGACTAGTCTTAATTTAGATATTGAAGAATGTGCTCACTTGACAGTGCCAGCTGGCTCCACATATTACAGTAAGAAATAGAATAAGGAGACGACTGCGAATGAAAAAGAAAAAATGGAGGAACGGTATTCTAACACTGAACAACCGATAACTGCATGTACCCATTAAACAATAAGAAAGAAAGAAAAGACTTCTGCAATCCTCTTCCTGTCTTGACCAACAAGAGTCTGCATTTGCTATTTCTTTGTACCGGAAACTTACACTTAAACATAATAATCAAGCTACTGGAACATATCACCACGCGGCATTATGTATTCCAGATACTGCTCCTGTTACGTTTGGTGGGCAAAGCAATCCAAATTCTGAAACTTTTTAGGCTATTGCTTTGAAAGCACGAGAAAGAAAAGAAGTTGTGTTACAACAGGAAGACAGGATGTAGCTATCTCAGTACGATTTCTGGTGCATGCTAAGCAGACATTTACATGTATCCTTTGTCAGCAGGGAGTACCATGTACTAATAGAATTAGCTACAAAGTAAAGCTGCTTTCCTAACTACACACTGGATGTCCCCGTGCCCATTACTTTCATCTGCAAAGAATAAAACTAAAGATTTGGGGTCTTTCTGGGCCTAATCTGACTCCAAACCACAGATACATTATACAAATACTTATATTCATGCAAGCCTTAGTCTCCGTTTGTAAAACAAAACAGAAAGTACTTTACACCAAAAGGCAAATGTTTTCCTAAACCTTATACATGATTTTCCCTCTGCAACTGGGTACAGTAATGACAGAGTCACATGGAGCTGTTTCAAAGATCAAATCAACATCTAAAAACAAACATTGTGCAGTCTTGTCACAGCCACCAATGTAGTTGTCAGCTCCTGTCATTGGATTCATACAGGTAACAATTCTGGGCTTGAGTGATTCACAATAATAGCCCCCTCACTTCAACTGGCCATACTCTGCTTGAAGTTTGAGTAGCAGGGCGAAATTTGAGCAGTGTGCGACCCCTTTCGATTTTTCAAACAACTTTGTCAAAGAAGATGGTCCAAAAATTCTCATCTGAACGGTGACTGCAGCCAATCCAATTAATTCACTGTTCATGTAATCTGACAGTGGCACACCACGCTGCTGCCAAAATACAAATGCCTGTCAGTGAGATTCCACTTTTCACACCATTTAGTGTGGATAAGGAAAAAATAAATAATAATAATTTAGTGTTTGTTGGCATTCGACCCCAATTTAGAAAAATGACTTGTATATAGCAAGCCTTAGAACCTACAAGTTTATTTTTATTTAAGCATATGGGGCATTTTAGGCTCAATGGCATCTACCCTTTATGCCGTTCCTGCGCATCAACCCATTTCAATGGGCTGCTGCCGCACGACAAACGCAGCAAAGAAACGCATCCACCATTATCAGCTGCAAGATTCCTGCATTCTTTCACCACGCGTTTGTGCATGTTTGACACGTGTGGGCAAAAAGGAGCGTTTTACCAGCTGTGTTTGGAGTGCCATTAACAAGCAATAGCACTCCAAACGCTGCTGGTAAAATGCTCATTTTTGCCAACACCTGTAACAAGTAATGGCACCGCAAGGGTGCCGCTTTTTGGTGCGCATTCATGCAATTCCAAAGTGTGAATGGGGTTCTAAAATGGGCCATAAACAAATAGTTCTCCATGCTAAATAGCACGGAATCAAGGAGGAATCTCACTGCTGGCACCTGCCGATATCAGAATACCTGAACTGTGACTGCAGCTAATTGGCTGCAGTCACTCTTTGCCCAACAGTTTTCGGCCCAGCTACTTCCACAAAAGTCAACAGAGTAATCGAGGTTTGTCAAGCTGGCCTTTTGGGATTGATTGCTTGCAGTTGCTGTACATCCAACTTCGGCTTGCCAAACTCTGACTGAAAAATCAAAAGAGCCAGGTGGTCCCCCGCAGCTTGAATTTTAGACAACTTACAGGCCAAAATTCAAGCCATGTATGACTAGCATTATGCTAATTATCAAAGTAACAACAAAGGTCAACCATTTTCGAGCGAGTATATCAGCTTCCGTCGAGCGGGCAGGGCCACCCAATGTTCGAATGTGGTCCGATTAACATGGCCAGCTTTACTCTACGAATAATGTTTCAGTTTGACACTGAACCTGAGAACCAGGAACACACACGGTTGCACATTCCCAGCTTTCTGCTGCAAGTTTATTTAACATTTCCACAGCAAGAGGCATTTTCTGCGTGGACATGGCATATTGTGGTCACAAAGATAAAGTGTATCTAATCTTTTTTTGGTTTGGTTTAAGATAAAGAGTAAGGAATGGATAAAACTCTTGTCATGTATTTTTTGCCATCTGTCGCACATTGGGGGAGATTTCCCTTCATTTGCTATCCGGCAGACACAATAGAAGTGACAGGAAAACTCTCCAAACTGAGGGGGAATCTCCTCTCCAGCAGCTGTCTTCAAAACAAGGGTCCCATTGTTCCTACTCTGGTGACAACTCACTTCCAGTCTTGGTGACAGCAGATAAACAGACTGTCAATCTCCCTACTGGGGACAGCAATACAAATATTTTTGAAGGGAGAGCCAGCACACCCAGTTCCAGCAGAATGTTTACTGGAGTCCCATAAGCCCATACGGAACTCTAGTATACATCTAACTGAAACTTGGCGTGCTGGATCTCTCAAATTGACAATTTTCCACTGTACGCCAATATGACAACCACCCTGCTTGTAATACAGATGAGTGAGGGCTAAGTGTAGAATGGATTGATGGAACAGACAAAGTTTTACCCTTTTTTATCTTGTATCAAAAACTACTGGGAATTTTAAAAAAATACAAAAAAAATAATATGAATCTTGCAGTGAGCCCTATCAGGCATTGCAAGGGATATATGCTCATTTTTAAGAAATAGGCTGTAATACTTTAAAGTGACACTAAATGCAGGCATTGCATCTTAAAAATCTTAAGAAAGGACCTTAACTATTAACAAATATGTATCTTATTTGTGTATCACTCGGCTGTAGATCCTCAAATCATCTCTGAATTGGTGCTGACACTGTCCTTCCTTCTGGAGGGGGGCTACCCTTGTTCCCCATGGTCCCTGTGTTGTAAAGTAGCCACCACTTCAAGCTTACTCCAATGATGGACTACACTCTCAATACATATTAGTAAACTAAATGCGAGATTGTAGTCCATCACCGGACTGATCTTGGAGCAGTGGCTACTTTACAACACACACCGGGACCATGCAGAACAAAAGTAGACATCCTCCAGAAGGAAGGACGGTGTCAGCACCAATTCAGAGATGATTTGACAATCTACAGCCGAGTGATACACAAATAAGATAGTGTACTTGAATGCATTTTTAAGATTTAACTCCTGAGTTTAGGGTCACTTACAGGGTTATTGACAAAAGGGTAAAGAGTTTGGAGAAGGCAGGAGAAGTGAACAATTTGGAAAAATTCTCCAATTCAGCTATGTTGTCCTAGATTGTTCACTTCTCATGCCTTCTCCAAACTCTTCACCCTTTTGTGAATAACCCTGCAAGTATTCCTTGTTCTGGAAGGCTTCTGAACTTTTCTCAATGATGCCCCAGGTTGTGGACAGTCCCTCCTCATGCTCAGGTATAATGGAGGGCTAATGGCAGGACCAGGATGAGGAGGACGTGAGGGGCATCTACCAGGAAGGCGGGTGAGAGCCAAGCTCCCCTCACCACACACATACATACGGTACATACTCCAGATCAGTCTGCTCTGGACAGCTTTTGCTGTCACACATTACTCCAACACGCCCATTCTCTGCCCCCCAATGCAAACCATGGGCAGCCATGGGGGCATTGAACGGGTGCGCCAGAGCACACAGGGTGGTACACCCATTCTACATTATGTGTTTATGTATCATCAGCCTGGGTGCCAGGTGACCCTGTCCCTGCACTGGCCCTACACTGGTCTTAATAACCAGGGCCAGGAGCATCTTAGAGAAGGGGACCAGTCACACAGATAGAGGGAAGTATAAGGCAAGTATTACCCCCAATTCCTTTACCCAAAAACTTAATGAGCATTAACCCCTGCTGCTGGAGGGGGGGGGGGGTCACACTGCAGTACATTTCTTTTTTTTTTTTTTTTAAAGTTCAGCTTTAATAATTGTCAGTGACACTGACATCTGCAGCACACAGCAACATTGTAAACGAGATTCCTGCATTGTAAATCAAGTTAAAAACAAAGTAGATCAGATGACAAAACGATCTGAGTGACATGTACAGAGGACGGTTGTGGCAGTGCTGGATTAGAGAAGTACAGTGTGCTAACACGATGGCTATCCTCCCCGATGTGTCACCATCCTCCACCCCCCGGGTGCACAGGAAGCCCACTCAGTGCCATGAAGACGAAGCCACCAGCACCGGCCTCCTCAAACCACATCCCAGAAAATACATCATCTCCAAATATGTCCCCCATCCTCCCCACCCCCGCCAGCCCTCAGCGCCGTCTGCTCTCCATACCACAATCCCCGGTGCTGTGTCCGGTCCAGCCCCCACTTCCCCTCCCTTTCATAAGCAGCCAGGTGACAGGCGCCCGCTTACCCTGCAGGCTGCAGTCGGCGCACACCTCCGGGGTCTTCAGCCGCTTCGACATGATGGCGGGGGGCCGAGGGGCCGTGCCCGCACTGTCGCTGCGAGGCGCAGGGAGCTCGGGTATGCAGCGCTACCGCCGCCACTGAGGTCCCGGGACACACAAAGCA